CTGCCGGCCCTGCAGCCGGACTGCACGGGCCCTGGTGGCCAGGAAGACCCCGGTCTGCGGAGACACTGCCCTGGCTTTTCCTCCACAGGCACGGGGACCCCTCAGCGCCCCTCGCGCTCCCTCTACCTGCCGGCCCTGCAGCCGGACTGCACGGGCCTCCCTGGCCAGGAAGACCCCGGTCTGCGGAGACACTGCCCTGGCTTTTCCTCCACAGGCACGGGGACCCCTCAGCGCCCCTCGCCCAGCTCCCTCTAGCCGGGGGCACAGAGCCACTCCAGGAAGGATTCCTCTGTGCCTCCGGGGGGCTAACAATTGACAGGAGCCCCGATGTTCAGATGAAAGGGGCTGAGGGTAGCCACGCTGCAGATCTGCCACCTTCAGAACCGCCAGTCTCCGCCCACAGCCGCTCCTAGAAGTAACTGGGTGATGTTGCCAGCTGGTCCTCCGAACTGGGAGGTGGACAGAGGCCAGCACCCAGAGAGATGCCACCTCCTGGCCAGGAGCAGAGGGCAGAGGCGAAGAGAGGCCCCGAGGCTAGGGTGGTTGCTTTAAGCTGCTACAGCCCTGCAGGGGAGGAATGCTTTCGGGCCCCATCAGCAGATCTGGATTATAAATCAGTCCAGACAGAAGCTTTTGTTCTGGGTTTAAACTTGGCGTCTGAAGAGCAGAGACCAGAAGAGTAGAGGAGATAACTGGGGAGGCAGCCCAGTTTGGACTCAGTAACTGGGTCTTTGCTGGTGCACATAAAGGCCCCTTCTCCCGCTCTGGCCGAGGCCACATTTCCCAGCTCCTTTCCGCCAGAGGAAACCTGTGTAGCTGTGGAGATGCTGGAGACTGGGAGCAAGCCAGCCGCTAGGACGGGTGGGCAGCAGGCTCTGCCTCAGCGGTCGGAGAGGCCGTGTGTGACCTCAGTAGGGGGACACTCCGTATCCATTTAAGTGGCGACCTGTATGCAGATCCCCTCACTGTTCTGTGCTGTAGACTCTGCAACCTGCCTCCTCTACATTTTCTTCCGCTCCACCCTCAGGACCACTTTGTAAAAGTGGGCATTGTTTGTCCCACTTTGTAGATACAGTGAGTCTGAGAGAGACCTGCTTGAAGTCACATAGATATAAACAAAGTCAGAATGTTAAATTGGGCCCTGGGACGCCAAATCCATCTTTCCACTAAGTCACATTGGATCCGGGCAACTTTTAGCCACCAAATGCTCCATTTCCTGCTGTTCTGCCTCCCCTTCCAGCCCCTCCCCCACTGCCACCCACTAGGTGTGAGGGTTACCAGACAGAGACTTGAGCTCCTCCTGCAAGATAGCCCCAGTGGAAAGTTTCAGAAGGTGGTTTGGTTTCACTGGCAGGGACAGTCTTCCGCGTACCCCAAGGCAGGCTTCTGTGTTCCAATAACAGACTCCAGGGAGCCCTTCCCTTCCAAAGGCTCCTCCCCAAAGATAGGGCTGCAGCCCCCACACCCCTTTGCCACCTGCGCCCATTTCCTCTGCGCTCTGTTCACTCCCAGTACTGGCCCTTTCCGGGGCTGAGTGAGCAGGGGATAGTTTCCTGCATGACCATTTGCTCATGATTCATACTTCAAAAAAATGTTTTCATTGATTTCTGAGAGAGAGAGGAAGGGAGAGGGATAGGAAGATAGAAACACCGATGAGAAACCTCATGGATCTGCTGCCTCCTGGGTGCCCCTCAAAAGGGATGGAGCCCACAACCCGGGGCATGTGCCCTGACCAGGTGACCTCTTGGTTCCTAGGTCGATGCTCAACTGCTGAGCTATACCAGCGGGCATGAGTCATACTTTTTAATATAAGCACAATTGGTCTAAAATGAGAATTCCCGGGTCTTAAGATAAAAAATTTACGACAAAAAACAAACAAAACTACTGTGTATCTATCGACCTCCCTGGGGCCTGTCTGGCATATTCAGTGGAAGTGCCCACCTCAGCCTCAGGCCCTGACACTCCTACTTGCCCCACTAACTCAACTGCTGAGGCCAAGTCAAGGAAAGGCCGGCGCTAAATGCCTTCTGAGGTTTGCTCAGATGCACTGGCAGCTGAGGCTGGCCCCACAGGTGGGCCCAGGAGTCACACCTGAAAAGCAAGGCTCCACTCTCCCCCACACGCATCGGTCCTGCGCCAGAGCGGCCTTCACTTGAGCCCCTTCCCCCTCTCCCCCGCTGTTCTGAGGCAGCTGACGGGAGGAGCCCTGCTTCCCACTGGGGTTCTCTGGTCAACATGCCTGGCTACTTCCCAGGAGCCTGGAGCTGCTGTGAACCCAAGGGGAAATGAGAAAGCCTGGGTCAGCCACCCTTCAGGGATCTTCCCGAGGGCCTGGGGACTGAGGTCAGTGGGGACAGAGGAAAAGGACTTCCTCTCTACTTCCTCCTGGAGGAGAGTTATCAAAGCCACCCACCTGGGAAGCCTTTCCCTTCCCAGCCCCTCCCTGCCACCATCACCCAAAGGAAGCAGGAAAACATCCGTCACCACAGCCCCGGATGCTGCTCTCAGGGGCCTCAGGATGCCCCTCCCTTCCCCAGGGCGCCATCTGGAAAGGGCAGGGGTGCCAGGACCAGCACCTGTGAATTCTTGGCCGAGAGCAGGCTGAGTCTCCAACTGGCCCCAGACTAGTTTGAGATCAGGTCTGCTCCAGGCCAGTTCCAGAGAGGGCCCATTACAGGTCCCAGGGGATGGCGTCTGCCCTTGGGTGACCTCAAACTGCACACCTCCGCTCAGGTTACAGCTAGGCCCCCGGAGCGACTGAGTCGCCACCAACACCTCCTTTCCTTGGTGTCCATTTCTCTCCGGGGGATGAGTGTTTGGGGCAGTGCGAGAACCAGAGCCGGCGGCGAAGGGACAGCGCCATCCCTTTCTAAGAGCCACAGAGAGAGATCTGGAAACTCCCCAGGTCTCCCTGCTCCCTCTCTGCCCTTGGCAGTGAAACAAAGAAGGGAAATTACAAAGGTGACTTCCAGGTTTCCAGAGTGAACTGAATGGCTGCAGATTAACTGCCAGGATGTACAGTGCTAGAAGCGGCCTGCCCTTTTTTTGCAGTATCGCAGGCCTACCTGGGGCCTCAGTAGTGCCCTGGCCAAGGGGGCCTGCGATGCAGCCAGGAACAGAAACCAGAACTCTCGGTCCAGCCACCTGGGCAGCCAAGTCCCCTGGCAGAGGATTTCTTCCACCTCTCACTTGGCAGAGGCGTCGAGGCAGGGAGGCGTCCGGCACGGTACCCAGCCTCTGAATTATAGATGCCCCCGGCTCCCAGCACTCTGGCGCCCAGGGAGGGAGGCCCAGGAAGTGATGGGGTGCTGCGGCTTTGCCAATCGAGCTACTTGCCCTGAAAGTCCTTTATTTGGGGGGAGCCTCTCTCCTAGTTAGCCCACCTTCCCCTGACCTCTGTGCCTTGAAAGGACAAAGGAGAGGGACCAAGTCTAGGCACCCGCCATGGTGACGCTCCACTAGCAGACACTAGGGCTGAACTGAGGAGTGTGCACAGGCAAGTTGGCAGGGGTGTCCTTTGTTACTCCCCTTCTACTTCTGTGGCCCCTGCAAATCCCCATCCCAACCCCCAGAGAGTCAGGAGGGGCCAGAGACTAGAAATGGATGCTCAGGGTTGGAGGAGTGGGCGGAGGGAGGAAATGGACACCCGGGGTCTCCTGGGAAGGCCCCATGGGATGCTGGGGGTACGGAAGACCCACTCATTTCTCAAGGGGAGCAGGTCTAAGACATTCAGCATCCTGTTAGGGATCAGCACCCACAAAACTCACCTCCGGCAGCAAGGCCGGAGCCCAGTCACATGGCTGTCCGAGGTGAGTATTCAGCAAACCGGACGCTGGCCCGAGACCTCAGGACAGGGGCTGCAGGAAACCATCTGAACCACTGATGTGAAACTGGGCTTTAGTGTGCACAAAGCAACCTCACATTCGTGAGAGAGGAAGGGGGTGGGAGGACAAGGAGGACATGCTGGGCAGGGAAGGAGAGCGGGAGGGGGGTGGGGCAGGCAGCGAGAGGCAGGGTCCCTTGCCACTGGGAGTCAGGGCATGGAGGAGGCAGGCTCTTGCTTCATCAGATGGTCCTCCTCTGGCCCCCATTCTTTGCTTCCTTTAGTTCCATGGGTCCTGTTCACTCCCTGGCAGAGCGCAGCCCTGGGCCACCCCTGCCCTGCTCCTTTAGATGTCTTCCCGGGGCTGAAGCACTGGGCCTGCGGCAAGGTGAGAAAGGGTGTGGTTGCCCAGGGCCCTGATGCTCCCTGATTCTCCAGTGTCCCCGCACCATCCAGCACAGCCTCCCTGTGCCAGTTGCTGAGTGACGGGACTCCTGGGGCTCAGCCCAGGCAGGGCGCAGGGCAGCAGGCCACGGGCCACACCTCTGCCTGGTCCCCTCCACCCCCTAGCTGCTGGCTGCCCGCAGCCCCAGGGCAGTGTGAGAGGTGGGCCTGCCTCCTGGCGTGGCCAGGCCACAAATCACTTTTCCTTCTTTTCATGACAAACACAGTTTCCCACCGAAAGACTAGTGTGATCCAGTTCCTTGGGGACTGAGGGTGAGGTTAACTCGCCAGCTTTCCCAGGGACTTGCGAAATCTGAGACCTAAGCCACAGCCTGTGGCGACATGTCAGTCCCATGTCAGAGGTTACAGGGGAAGGACACGCAGAGAGAAGGCAGAGGAAAGGCTGCTCATCTCCACCAAGGGCGGGGGGCCCCGAAGGGAAGTGCCCCTAAGCCAGCCGGCGCTGCTCCTCGAGGGATGGAGGCCAGAGGGAGGAGGCCAGGGCAGGGCCGCAGGCGTGGGTGCCAGGCTGGCCCGGCGCCTCGGTTCTGACATTTACACGCTGCCTGCCTGTGGGACGGGGCAAGCTAGTTAACCTCTCAGTGACCGGGTTGCCTTCTCTGTGAAATGGGGGCATAGTAACACCCGCCTCCCTCTGGGGCTGTGCGGACTCGGAATCGTGTAGAAATAAGTATTAGCTGTGAACAGCATCACCTCAGTGTGAGAAAGGGAGGTGTGGAGGTTGATGCTCCAGAGGTGGAGGGAGGGCCGGGCAGCTGTGTGCTCCTGGCAGAGCAGGCCAGCTTCAGCCTGCAGGGCGGGCAGGCAGAGGGGGGACAGCTGGCGCCTCTGGTGCCCGGGTCTCCCCTCTCTGGGCAAAGTTCCTCTGCATTTGCTCAGTAGAGGCTTCTCTGTACCCCACGCCACACACCCACACTGGTATCTCACTCTTGATAAGAATGCTGAAGGCCTCCAGGCCCTCCCTTCCCCCACAATGCCCGCTCCAGCCTTTTCCAGCCCGAAGCTCAGCAGCTGCAGTGGGGGTGGACACGGTGGGGGGGGAGGCGTGCTCTGGCTCTGGTCAGCTGCCTGACCACTTCCCTCCCCTCCCAGGTCCGGAGGCTAGAGGGGCACCACCTGGGGCCGGCAGTGGGTCAGCAGCTCCTGCCAGCGGATGTGGGTCTGGGTAGCCAGGTCCTTGAGCGTGGTCCGGTGCATGGCCTGGGGGCTCTCCCGGATATGGGTGTTGATGTGACGGTCCAACTGCATACACAACAGCCGCAGCTCTTCCTGCAGAGGCACCGTGGAGGGGCGGCCGGAGAAGGAAAGAGGAGAGGGACAGGGCAAGTGCTGGGGCACATGTCAGTAACTCTTGAGAAGGCCCCATGGGATGCTGGGAGAAGGCAGAGGCCTGCTCCACGCACCCCCACCCCCCAACTGCTGCTGCTTCTTAGCCCCTCTTTGCAGTTCCTGAGAGCAGGGTGGGCGCCGCCCCAGCTGACTGTAGCCCAGCCTCTTGGGAGACTCACCCGCTGGTCTGGAGTAATGTCTTGGCAGCTGACCACCACCCCAGCGAGTGTCAGGAGGCTGTGGCACAGGTAGCAGACCTGGAGAGAGCACAGGAGACGGGCCTCCCTGAGTCCCTCACCCCAGTCCTCCTTCCAGGCCCTGCAGGGTGAGGGCTGGGCTTCCAGCCAGTTTCCTGGGAGGCGTCTTTAAGGAGCCCAGGGCCCCACTCACAGGGCTCTCCCTTCCTTCAGAAAAGGAAGAAACCCTTCCCTCCAGAGCCCACGCTGCCCAGCCCTGTCCGGGGCTCCAGTGGAGAGAGCGCCGCTAGGGAGGGGCTGTCCACTCTGACCTCTGCCCTGCTCCTCAAGGTGCCACCTACATCTATGGGCGCTGTCACTGGGGGCCACTCTCCTCGATTGGGGGGGCGTGGCCCATGGGTGCCCAGCTCACCCCTGGGTGGAACACCACTTGCACAGACAGATGTGCAGCCCATCCAGACATTCAGACCTGCAGACACGAGGAGGCAGGCGAAGAGGCGGAGGCAGAGTGATGGCTGTGGGTGCGCATCTGCACGCCTTACCCACCAACGCATACCCTTGCTCTTGCCCTAGAGACTGAGGGGTGCCATTTGGTCAGAATGGTGTGATCCCAGGGCCCTGGACTCTGTGGGTGTGCAGAGAAAAGGAGGTACTGGGAGCACCCTAAAGACCGGCGAGGCCCTGCTGTGGAGACGGTCTGCTCCTGGCACTCTGAGGTTCTGTCTGTGGACATCCCCACCTCGGACTGCTATGTCTGAGACAGGGAGGGTGGCAGGAAATGACCCTGACCTGCCCGTACCTGCAGATAACCGGCCCTGAGGCTGAGCTGGAGGGAGAGGCAGCTCCAGAACGGGGCTGGAGCTCAGAACCAGCCCAAGGCTCCCCCTGCCATCACTTCCCCTAGAGCACCAAGTGGTACCCAGAAATGGGGCAGCCTCTTTGCACAGACCAGAAGCCTCCTTAGGGCAGAAGCTAGAACCACTTTCGAGGGCACCAGACTTGGCACTGTGGGATAGTCTTCTTGAATTCAAAGGCCACAGTGCAAAGGCCTGACGGAGACCACCTGCCCCTCCCCCAGCAGCACCTGCCCTGCGCAGACCCAGCCTGTTCTTCAACACGGCAGCGAGGCCCCCAGGGGGCCTGACCGGAAGGCAGGCTGGCAGGCACAGAGATGCAGCGAGGGGGACGCAGTGCGGCTGGGGGTCACGCCTGGCCTCTCTGAGCCAGCTCCGACTGCAGGGTCCTGCAGCTGCCAGTCCCCCAGCAGGCCAGCTCACCAGGGAGCTAACTTGCTAGCAACCCCCTGCTCCCCGGGGGCTCCCTGTCCCCAGACTGACCGTGCCCTTTGGAGGGAGGGCCACAGCATTGGAGCCCCTCTGACCTCTGCAGTCCGCCAAGCGGCTCACCACCACCCCTCCCCCACCCCGGACGTAAAGCAGGCGCAGGCCTGTGTGCCCACTGCCCTTGGACTGAGACACAGCCACCAACCTTAGACATCAGAGGAGAACGATACTGCAGGAAGGCAATCGTTTGGCCACAGACCCTGAATTTCAGCCTCCCCAGCGCGCAAAATGAGAGGGGTCCTTCTAAGTGCCTGGGGGTGGTATGCAGCTCAGAGGTTCAAGGAGGAAGTGACTAAGCTACAACAGGCTTCTAAGGAATAGTAGGATCGCGGTGAGGTTACTATGTGGGGCCGGGTGGGCTGATTACAGTACCTGGGGCTGATTCAGGGAAACAGAGGCTGGAAGCTGGCTGGGGTGGAGCGGGGAGGGGCACCCTGAGGCTCGGGCTGGTGGCAGGGTCTGGGCAGTGGGCAATGGAGAGGAGGGAGGCTGGCTGAGTCACTCCAGGACTCTCTGGTATGCACATTGTTTTGAGCTAAAGGCAACTTTAGCCTCAGGCTCAAGAGAAACTTCGGCCCCTCCTTTTAACTACCTGGAAAATTTGAATTAGGGCAGTGGTCGGCAAACTCATTAGTCAACAGAGCCAAATATCAACAGTACAACGATTGAAATTTCCTTTGAGAGCCAAATTTTTTAAACTTAAACTATACAGGTAGGTACATTGTTAATAACTTAATTAGGGTACTCCTAAGGCTTAGGAAGAGCCACACTCAAGGGGCCAAAGAGCCGCATGTGCCTCGAGAGCCGCAGTTTGCCGACCACGGAATTAAGGGCCTTGCCGAATTTGACCTATAGAAAGGTCAAAAGAGCCCTTACCGGTTTGGCTCAGTGGATAGAGCGTCATCCTGCAGACTCAAGGGTGTGCAGGAGGCAGCTGATCAATGTTTCTCTCTCATCAATGTTTCTAACTCTCTATCCCTCTCCCTTCCTCTCTGTCCTTTATTTGGGGGGAGCCTCTCTCCTAGTTAGCCCACCTTCCCCTGACCTCTGTGCCTTGAAAGGACAAAGGAGAGGGACCAAGTCTAGGCACCCGCCATGGTGACGCTCCACTAGCAGACACTAGGGCTGAACTGAGGAGTGTGCACAGGCAAGTTGGCAGGGGTGTCCTTTGTTACTCCCCTTCTACTTCTGTGGCCCCTGCAAATCCCCATCCCAACCCCCAGAGAGTCAGGAGGGGCCAGAGACTAGAAATGGATGCTCAGGGTTGGAGGAGTGGGCGGAGGGAGGAAATGGACACCCGGGGTCTCCTGGGAAGGCCCCATGGGATGCTGGGGGTACGGAAGACCCACTCATTTCTCAAGGGGAGCAGGTCTAAGACATTCAGCATCCTGTTAGGGATCAGCACCCACAAAACTCACCTCCGGCAGCAAGGCCGGAGCCCAGTCACATGGCTGTCCGAGGTGAGTATTCAGCAAACCGGACGCTGGCCCGAGACCTCAGGACAGGGGCTGCAGGAAACCATCTGAACCACTGATGTGAAACTGGGCTTTAGTGTGCACAAAGCAACCTCACATTCGTGAGAGAGGAAGGGGGTGGGAGGACAAGGAGGACATGCTGGGCAGGGAAGGAGAGCGGGAGGGGGGTGGGGCAGGCAGCGAGAGGCAGGGTCCCTTGCCACTGGGAGTCAGGGCATGGAGGAGGCAGGCTCTTGCTTCATCAGATGGTCCTCCTCTGGCCCCCATTCTTTGCTTCCTTTAGTTCCATGGGTCCTGTTCACTCCCTGGCAGAGCGCAGCCCTGGGCCACCCCTGCCCTGCTCCTTTAGATGTCTTCCCGGGGCTGAAGCACTGGGCCTGCGGCAAGGTGAGAAAGGGTGTGGTTGCCCAGGGCCCTGATGCTCCCTGATTCTCCAGTGTCCCCGCACCATCCAGCACAGCCTCCCTGTGCCAGTTGCTGAGTGACGGGACTCCTGGGGCTCAGCCCAGGCAGGGCGCAGGGCAGCAGGCCACGGGCCACACCTCTGCCTGGTCCCCTCCACCCCCTAGCTGCTGGCTGCCCGCAGCCCCAGGGCAGTGTGAGAGGTGGGCCTGCCTCCTGGCGTGGCCAGGCCACAAATCACTTTTCCTTCTTTTCATGACAAACACAGTTTCCCACCGAAAGACTAGTGTGATCCAGTTCCTTGGGGACTGAGGGTGAGGTTAACTCGCCAGCTTTCCCAGGGACTTGCGAAATCTGAGACCTAAGCCACAGCCTGTGGCGACATGTCAGTCCCATGTCAGAGGTTACAGGGGAAGGACACGCAGAGAGAAGGCAGAGGAAAGGCTGCTCATCTCCACCAAGGGCGGGGGGCCCCGAAGGGAAGTGCCCCTAAGCCAGCCGGCGCTGCTCCTCGAGGGATGGAGGCCAGAGGGAGGAGGCCAGGGCAGGGCCGCAGGCGTGGGTGCCAGGCTGGCCCGGCGCCTCGGTTCTGACATTTACACGCTGCCTGCCTGTGGGACGGGGCAAGCTAGTTAACCTCTCAGTGACCGGGTTGCCTTCTCTGTGAAATGGGGGCATAGTAACACCCGCCTCCCTCTGGGGCTGTGCGGACTCGGACTCGTGTAGAAATAAGTATTAGCTGTGAACAGCATCACCTCAGTGTGAGAAAGGGAGGTGTGGAGGTTGATGCTCCAGAGGTGGAGGGAGGGCCGGGCAGCTGTGTGCTCCTGGCAGAGCAGGCCAGCTTCAGCCTGCAGGGCGGGCAGGCAGAGGGGGGACAGCTGGCGCCTCTGGTGCCCGGGTCTCCCCTCTCTGGGCAAAGTTCCTCTGCATTTGCTCAGTAGAGGCTTCTCTGTACCCCACGCCACACACCCACACTGGTATCTCACTCTTGATAAGAATGCTGAAGGCCTCCAGGCCCTCCCTTCCCCCACAATGCCCGCTCCAGCCTTTTCCAGCCCGAAGCTCAGCAGCTGCAGTGGGGGTGGACACGGTGGGGGGGGAGGCGTGCTCTGGCTCTGGTCAGCTGCCTGACCACTTCCCTCCCCTCCCAGGTCCGGAGGCTAGAGGGGCACCACCTGGGGCCGGCAGTGGGTCAGCAGCTCCTGCCAGCGGATGTGGGTCTGGGTAGCCAGGTCCTTGAGCGTGGTCCGGTGCATGGCCTGGGGGCTCTCCCGGATATGGGTGTTGATGTGACGGTCCAACTGCATACACAACAGCCGCAGCTCTTCCTGCAGAGGCACCGTGGAGGGGCGGCCGGAGAAGGAAAGAGGAGAGGGACAGGGCAAGTGCTGGGGCACATGTCAGTAACTCTTGAGAAGGCCCCATGGGATGCTGGGAGAAGGCAGAGGCCTGCTCCACGCACCCCCACCCCCCAACTGCTGCTGCTTCTTAGCCCCTCTTTGCAGTTCCTGAGAGCAGGGTGGGCGCCGCCCCAGCTGACTGTAGCCCAGCCTCTTGGGAGACTCACCCGCTGGTCTGGAGTAATGTCTTGGCAGCTGACCACCACCCCAGCGAGTGTCAGGAGGCTGTGGCACAGGTAGCAGACCTGGAGAGAGCACAGGAGACGGGCCTCCCTGAGTCCCTCACCCCAGTCCTCCTTCCAGGCCCTGCAGGGTGAGGGCTGGGCTTCCAGCCAGTTTCCTGGGAGGCGTCTTTAAGGAGCCCAGGGCCCCACTCACAGGGCTCTCCCTTCCTTCAGAAAAGGAAGAAACCCTTCCCTCCAGAGCCCACGCTGCCCAGCCCTGTCCGGGGCTCCAGTGGAGAGAGCGCCGCTAGGGAGGGGCTGTCCACTCTGACCTCTGCCCTGCTCCTCAAGGTGCCACCTACATCTATGGGCGCTGTCACTGGGGGCCACTCTCCTCGATTGGGGGGGCGTGGCCCATGGGTGCCCAGCTCACCCCTGGGTGGAACACCACTTGCACAGACAGATGTGCAGCCCATCCAGACATTCAGACCTGCAGACACGAGGAGGCAGGCGAAGAGGCGGAGGCAGAGTGATGGCTGTGGGTGCGCATCTGCACGCCTTACCCACCAACGCATACCCTTGCTCTTGCCCTAGAGACTGAGGGGTGCCATTTGGTCAGAATGGTGTGATCCCAGGGCCCTGGACTCTGTGGGTGTGCAGAGAAAAGGAGGTACTGGGAGCACCCTAAAGACCGGCGAGGCCCTGCTGTGGAGACGGTCTGCTCCTGGCACTCTGAGGTTCTGTCTGTGGACATCCCCACCTCGGACTCCTATGTCTGAGACAGGGAGGGTGGCAGGAAATGACCCTGACCTGCCCGTACCTGCAGATAACCGGCCCTGAGGCTGAGCTGGAGGGAGAGGCAGCTCCAGAACGGGGCTGGAGCTCAGAACCAGCCCAAGGCTCCCCCTGCCATCACTTCCCCTAGAGCACCAAGTGGTACCCAGAAATGGGGCAGCCTCTTTGCACAGACCAGAAGCCTCCTTAGGGCAGAAGCTAGAACCACTTTCGAGGGCACCAGACTTGGCACTGTGGGATAGTCTTCTTGAATTCAAAGGCCACAGTGCAAAGGCCTGACGGAGACCACCTGCCCCTCCCCCAGCAGCACCTGCCCTGCGCAGACCCAGCCTGTTCTTCAACACGGCAGCGAGGCCCCCAGGGGGCCTGACCGGAAGGCAGGCTGGCAGGCACAGAGATGCAGCGAGGGGGACGCAGTGCGGCTGGGGGTCACGCCTGGCCTCTCTGAGCCAGCTCCGACTGCAGGGTCCTGCAGCTGCCAGTCCCCCAGCAGGCCAGCTCACCAGGGAGCTAACTTGCTAGCAACCCCCTGCTCCCCGGGGGCTCCCTGTCCCCAGACTGACCGTGCCCTTTGGAGGGAGGGCCACAGCATTGGAGCCCCTCTGACCTCTGCAGTCCGCCAAGCGGCTCACCACCACCCCTCCCCCACCCCGGACGTAAAGCAGGCGCAGGCCTGTGTGCCCACTGCCCTTGGACTGAGACACAGCCACCAACCTTAGACATCAGAGGAGAACGATACTGCAGGAAGGCAATCGTTTGGCCACAGACCCTGAATTTCAGCCTCCCCAGCGCGCAAAATGAGAGGGGTCCTTCTAAGTGCCTGGGGGTGGTATGCAGCTCAGAGGTTCAAGGAGGAAGTGACTAAGCTACAACAGGCTTCTAAGGAATAGTAGGATCGCCGTGAGGTTACTATGTGGGGCCGGGTGGGCTGATTACAGTACCTGGGGCTGATTCAGGGAAACAGAGGCTGGAAGCTGGCTGGGGTGGAGCGGGGAGGGGCACCCTGAGGCCCGGGCTGGTGGCAGGGTCTGGGCAGTGGGCAATGGAGAGGAGGGAGGCTGGCTGAGTCACTCCAGGACTCTCTGGTATGCACATTGTTTTGAGCTAAAGGCAACTTTAGCCTCAGGCTCAAGAGAAACTTCGGCCCCTCCTTTTAACTACCTGGAAAATTTGAATTAGGGCAGTGGTCGGCAAACTCATTAGTCAACAGAGCCAAATATCAACAGTACAACGATTGAAATTTCCTTTGAGAGCCAAATTTTTTAAACTTAAACTATACAGGTAGGTACATTGTTAATAACTTAATTAGGGTACTCCTAAGGCTTAGGAAGAGCCACACTCAAGGGGCCAAAGAGCCGCATGTGCCTCGAGAGCCGCAGTTTGCCGACCACGGAATTAAGGGCCTTGCCGAATTTGACCTATAGAAAGGTCAAAAGAGCCCTTACCGGTTTGGCTCAGTGGATAGAGCGTCATCCTGCAGACTCAAGGGTGTGCAGGAGGCAGCTGATCAATGTTTCTCTCTCATCAATGTTTCTAACTCTCTATCCCTCTCCCTTCCTCTCTGTAAAAAAATCAATAAAATATATTTTTAAAAAATTTTTTTAAAAAAAAGAAAGGTCAAAAGAGATGGGGCAAATACCTATTTGCTGAATGCCTGTGCTTCTTACCATCCACCCTGCGATGACCCTTGGAAGGCCCCAAGGACATGACCTTTTCCCAGCTCAGAAGGTCCTACATACCTCAGCCCCCTTCTGTCCCTGAACCTGGCCCACATGTGGGACTCAGACTCTCTCATGTGCCTGCGGGGTTCCTGTACATACGTATGTGTTACATGTTATTTTCTCTTGTTAATCTGGCT